AATTGTTAAAATAAAATGTAACTGCATTAGTTTTATAGCAAATCTGATAACATTATTCAGCATATACACAATATAAATGGATCAATTTTTACCATTTTGATTATCTAACATATTACAAGGTATTAATATTAGCTTAGGTATCATGCCGGGTGGTGCTATGAATTGTTGCGTGCTCTGTGTTGTACTGAGACCAGAATATTGCACCTCTGCCTCCGTAACGAGTTTGCAGATATGCATCTTGATATCCGCTTGCGCTTTAGGTGGTAGTTTTTTCACTGCCTGTGCCATGCTGTCGAAAAATAATTCTATACTCTTACTCTCGGATGCTAAGTGAACTTGTTTGTTAGTATCATTGTTCTTCATACTGTTTGATTCTTTCACAAGCGTGATTGATGTACTAGGTGGTAAATTTTTCTCAAGAACAGCCACTGTATTAGCAACTGGATTAGCCATTGTATCGGTATTATTCACATTATTTTTATTTATCTTCAAGGAAGATTTTTTTATTTTATTAGTGCTAGATGTTTTCGGAGAGGAAGAATGTTCGGTCCTCAATCGTTTCGGACGTATCTTTCGGTACTTTGACTGTATTCGCTGAATGTAGTTGTCCATATCCATATCTTGTTCACTCGCTATTTCCTCTTGAGCAGCTATCTCTACATTAATATTATCCAATGTTTCTATCGTTTCAGTTTCCATTACAACTGGGTCAGCTGATGTCTCTTCTAGAACTTCCAGGTATTCAGTATAGTCCTCATTATTTCGGTCTTCTAACTGCTCTAGTAAACCTTCGGCACTTACATCACTCGAGTTTATCTGTTGTATGTATTCCTTGGTTAATTCTACAGACTGTGGCTGATAATCCACTTCACACCTGTAAAAATATTCTCGATTGAGAAAACAAGGTTTAAGTAAATCGCCAAAATTACCAAATAATCATGGATATTTCTTACGGATATTTTACGAAGCTCAAAGAATCCTCGAAGATCCATTTTTTTCTTCTTACACCTTCTTCTGTCTTACTCTTGCATTTCAAGATACGGCAGTAAGTATCTCTAAGGTTCTTCCATCTCAGTCTAACCCAAGTAGCTACAACAGACAGCAGCCAATGGTCATATTTAGCAAATTATTTTACAATCGATAGAAATTTTCTTCAACTTGATTGGATTATACTTTTAGATCTAGAGAAATATATATATCGCAGCGAAGAAAACTTTCAACAGTTGTGGAGTAAACAAGGCTATATTCCACAGAGAAAACTATTCATAAAGCGCTTAGTGATTCTTTAATACAATTGATTCCTACCTAATTAGATCCAGCAAAAAACTATAGCAAAGAAATCAATCATATTAAAGAATCTGAACACTCATTGATCAGTTAACTTCTAAATGAAACCATTCTGCTGAACATAATCAGCAGAAAAAATAGTTTGCGATTGTTACAAGATTTTTTAATATGATTTAGATTTAAGATGAAGAATTAAAAATACGATCAAAAACATTAAAAAATTTTACAACAGTTGCAAAGTTGCTTTTTTTGCCACACATTGGCTGCGTTGAACAAAATATTTTAAGCTCAATTTACATAAAACGCAGAATACATACATAGATCGCAAGTGAAACATATTTCAGATTGTAATAGGTTGTAGACCGCAATACATGGAACATAGAATGTAAGACACAAAATCTGAAATTCATCCAACTTTCTGCATTCTACAACCTATTATAGTTAAAATACATTAGGTTAGTTTTTAGTTCTGTGATCCCTGCAATCTACGTTCTACATCTTACATACATCAGGCTTCACAATTATTGAAAGTTTACTTTGTTCTATTATATTTTTAGCTCGAGGAATAGTCCTATCTCAATAAAAATAACTTTCTTGTAAAATAAACACTGTATAATATATGATACAACCATTAACAAAATATGTAATAAAGAAATAACATATAAAAACATACGATCCAGTCCAAGCTCATCCGAGATGTGTTTCCAGACTTTTTGTTTGAAGTCCTGCAGCTTCACTGGCACACCCTTCACCTCGGTACAATAGAGCACTGGATGTTGTTTGATCGCTTCTATGATGTTCAGTGATATCTGATAGGTATCCGGTGGTACAGTCATCATGGTAGATTGCGTTAACCTGCAAAAAGACATTTTACTATAATACTTCAATGTTTGTCTCCTAACGACTTTTGTATTCCCGCCCGAGATACAATCTCATGCTCTGATAACAACACGATGAAGTTATAGCGTCATAGCGATATTGTGCGTGAAAATTCATCGAAATGATTCGCCGCGCGCGAAATATTTCGATGTGCGTGCGTCATTATGCAATTTTGATTGCGCACGTGAATCGTATCAGTACTTGATATGAACGAGATGTGAAAATCATACAACGTATCGTTACGAATAATGGTACCTTACAAATCAGCGAAAGTCGCCCAGCAACAATAAGGATCCACCAGTCAACGGTCGCCGGTTGATTGGATCAGATCTCCGAGACCCGAGACTGGTCGCCAGAGCGACGCTGCGACAGAGTTCATTCGGCGACGCGCACTTCCGTCGCGAAACCTGCATTTCCGACAACCTCCCCTCTTCTCATCCGAGGGTCGCTTGTAAATGGCTGTGTTCAGCAGAGAGAAACCACTGAAATATAAAGTTGGAATAAAACTACGCATTGAAGATTGAGATTGAAGATTGAAAGATTGAAATTTGACCAATCAAAACCATAGGAGCTAAAATTTCTTTGTCTTCATTGGTCAAATTGCAATCTTCAATCTTCAATCTCAATTTTCAATGCATAATCTGATTCCGACCTAAGGTTTGTGTGTGTATTGAAATCTCCAAAAATGTTTGCACTTAAAACGGGATAAATATATATTCAGGCATTGAAGAGAGAGAAAGAGAGAGAGAGAGAGAGAGAGAGAGAGAGAGAGAGAGAGAGAGAGAGAGAGAGAGAACGAAGATGCTAAATACAAAAAGTGCTCTTTTTTAATCTATGCTTATAAAACTGCGCATGTGCAATATCATCTACTGCACATGCGCAAATAGTAAAGTATAAGTTAAAAAAAGATAAAGATATCATTTGGAACGCTTTCTGTCGAATCACTTTAAAGCTCCAGACAAAATGTGAAGAAATAGCGATAGAAATAACACGATTTCAATCTATCAGAAACTGTATGTTCCAATGTATTTCTGAGGTTGAAACCGTATTATTTCGCTATCGTTATTCCTTCGCATTGTGTCTGGGGCTTAAAGCGTGGTCTACAGATTTGTTCACGTGGCATGTTCCAACATGCTCCTACTTTCTCCAACCGTAGCTCCTACTCAAATATGCTCGTTAGACCAGAATCAGACTATGCATTGAAGAATAAGATTAAAAGTTTGTCCAATCAAAATAAAAAGAGGCAAAATTTCTTTATCTTCATTGGTGAAATTTTATCTTTAATGTAATCTTCAATGCATAGTCTGATTCCGGCTTTAGAATAAATAGAAGCTATGATAGAAACATGTAGAAGTATGTTAGAGCATGCGACGCGAACAACTTTCCAATAAGTTGCAAACACACCATCGCCAGTTGCAATGCTTTGCAACCACTGAACTATATATACACTGGAATGACTGGAATGGACATCTCCACTGTAAGAGGTTGCGCATAATAAAAGGAACAAGGAACAGAGAATAAGAATTTCAACCTATCAGAAATCATGTTTTGTGGAATACACAGTTTCTGATAAGTTGAAATTCTTATTCTCTGTTCCTTTTATTGTGCAGAGCATCTAAAGCATAGAAAATCGTGGCACCAATTGATCAATGCCATTTTAATTTGGTTAATGTAAGAGCGAATCAGAAGCATTCAGATACTCCTACACATTTATGTTTAGTATTCTTCAGTGAGATCTCTATAGGCTGCATTTGTCAGCATCATCATGTATGTGAGATTATATTTGAAAGATTATAAAATCACGTAACTGTAAAATGTGTAAAGCATCAACATGAAGTACATATAATATTGTCTCTCAAGGTGGTATTCATAGTCCGATCTTATTTCAAGATTGGCTTAAGTAATGTCTTAAGCGCTAATACGGCTCTCTGATTGGTTCGTGACTTTTTAAGACCGCATTTAAGACGGTCTTGAATATAAGATCTGATTACATATGAATATCTTAGGAAATATTTTGTTATGAAACTCGTTTTGATATTTATATTTTATGAAACTATGAAGCTTATTAAAAAACAAATCATGCAACTTTATTCTTAAAAACATTTTAATAAATAAAATGATATGTTCCTTATTTACGTAGATGTTTTTTACAGACATATTTTTATGCTATATTTTATCTCTGAGGCTGTGGTTAAAGTCTCGCTATAAATACTTTGAAGTATTTGATGGACCCAATCAAAAAAAAGAATTTTATAAGTTGATTGATCAAAAAACGTTTTAAAGCATTATAGCATCACATTAATCATAGATCAATCTTAAGAAGTAATATTAAGTCATAAAATCTTTTTGGTTTCTTTTTTTATGAAGTTGCGAAGGCACGTACAGAGTCGGTTTTGCAAAATGATGAATTTTTAAGAATTATAATAAATAAACTTACATACACTGCACTATTGTACACATCAGAATAAATGTTTATTTTGCCTTTTTTCTTACAAAAATCGCTCTATATGAGCCTTCAAGAGCCTTTTCTGATTACGAATATCGCAATTAAAATGCGATTCATCCAGTATTTTAGCCGTAATTTTAGCATAAATAAATTCGTCTTCGACTAGAGGTCTCTGTAATCTCTCCTTTTAATTTCGATCATTGTTGTGAGATGTCGGTTGCTCTACTCAGAGTGATTCAGAGCCTCAGAGCGCTCAAAACGAGATTCTTATCTCATGTCTTGATTAGTTCGTAATTTTTCAATGTAAGTTTTCTAGTTTATTACGAAAGTACGAGAGTCCTTTTGTAAGAACTGCCATTTTTTAAACGTGAGCGATGGCAAATATTCCTTCAGAACTTTTATCGCATCAGCAGAAAGTATGCAGACTATACAAACGTGCTATGCGTTGTGTTGAGGATTGGTTTCATAAAACACACGAACGCAGGTACGTACATTATTGAGGATGACATGATGATAACTTCTGGCCTGTTCTTTTTAATTAAATTAGGTGCTTTCCATTTGATGACACAAGTCGACACAAGCATCGTTCTAGATGACATTCAGAGAGTGACAAAGATAGAACAACATTTGTGTCGATTTGTATCATCAAATGGAAAACATCCATTGTTACTACATATTTGTACACTTAAAATAAGATAGCCATGTACTTGTGCTTCAAAGAGAAAAGAAATGAACAATCGATATAAGCTCAATTAAAAAGAACAAATCTTTTAATTCAACTGGGGAAATTGTTTAAAGCAAAATAAATGATTAATATAATTATTTATTTCTCAAATGTTGTATATTCACAGACTATTATGATATTTCAATATTGTTTAATTATTAATTAAATATTTATGTTAACGACTAAATACTATAGGTTCTTACTATTACTTAATAAATTAATTCCTGTTTCCTTCAATATAGATTGGTCCTTTTATATCGATTTCTGTAATTTAATTTTAATCTTGCTTCAACTAATTCTTCAATTTTTTTTTAATTCTAAGAATTGAAAAAAGATGAAGAGCAAATTAAACAGAAATTGAAGTTAATCTATATTAGTACAAAGGAATTGCTGGAATTTCTTGCTTTTCCTTCCATTTTTCTTTATGTTAGAGAAAAAAAGGAGGAAAGATGAACTGCAAGAAGTTTAAAAAAAAAATGGCATATTAACTTTGATTTCAATTCAACTTACTTTTTTATTTTTTTCTAATTTTTACAAGAAAAGATGAACCAAGTTTAGTTAATCTATATTAGTGGAACAGGTATAAAATAATTAATAATATTCATCTTAGACTGTTATGATCAAGATTCCTATTTCTTATTTGATGAATTAATGTTCAAAAATCAATAGATTTAACTTTAATTTCAGTTTTATTTACTATTGAAATGGCATCGATTGGTTGATGAATCCAGATCGAAGTTAATTAAAATTTGATCAAATCATAGTTTTGAATCGATGCAGTAATTAATGTATTGATTCAAATGAAACAACTAATATTAGACTCTTTAGGAGAAAGAAACAAAGATAAGCACAAAGCATGAAAATAAAATACCTCAATTTATTTACAAAGAACGAGTAGTTTATAAAAAATAATTTAGTAGTTTAAATCTGTCGTTTAATGAATAAAGCTAATAATAATTAATTAAGGTAAATATAAACTCAGAGAGAGAGAGAGAGAGAGAGAGAGAGAGAGAGAGAGAGAGAGAGAGAGAGAAGAGTGGGGGTGACCGGACTTGTACTTATATTTATATTTATATCCAGACATTTACAAAAATTATTTATTTATATTATTATTATTATTATATATATCTCAAATACTTTTTTAAATGTAATATAATAATTTAATAATAATCTTTAAATATAATTGAATTATAATATTGAAATAAAAAAACATTTGAGATTAATAATATTAAATTTTGTGTAAGTGTGTGTATGGGTATGTGTTTGGTTATTGGGACGTTTATCTATCATAATTATATTTCAATTATAATTTCTTTACAGATACCAGATCGCATTATTGAGAGAGCGTTTTGATAAAAATAAGGATATAAAAGATTTGAAATATGCAAAGTATTTATTGAAGGAAGGAGAAAAGGAGTACTTCTCTAAGATACATTATCAACCAATAACATTCGCTGAATCGATCACAGGAGGGGCATATGGTCGAGAGTGTTATACCCCAGACTGGGCCTTGGATTATTGGCATCCTCTAGAGAAAGCTATGTATCCTAAATACTTTGCGCGTCGTGAACAAATGAAGGACGAATACCTGAAGTGGTACTTTGAAACCTATCCTGAAGAAAAAAAGAAAATTGATAACCACTAAAGCGCTTGTAAAATATATATACCTGCAATGGTATCATATTAATGTAACAACTCTTGTAGATAATATTATAATATAATATATATTATGTGAGTCTAGAGAACATCATAGAACATCATTCCTATCATAAAAATACCTTTGGCCAGATTAGAGATTGAGATTGAATTGAAATTTAATCAGAAGAAAATCAATTTCAAGTGTAATGAATTTTAATTGATTAAATTCCAATCTAATCTCAATTTCTAATTCTAGGTTAATTAAAAGAACCAGTTTTTCAAAATCTGTATATACGAGAAAGTATTTTGTTTTAAAAAGCATTGAGTGGTTTGTTGCTCGGTGCGATTGATTCCGATCTGTAGATCCGAGTTCATTCCTGCGTCTACATATGCGATTTTTTTGCATTTAAAAAGCTGAACGTGGCATTATTTGGTGATAGATATCTGTGACCAGCGCCGTTTGAATCCGGCGTTTAAATTGTAGGTTCCATATATATAGGCTATAAATATATGCATCATTCTCCCACGTTAGGAGTTTGACATTAGGCTAACAATCTAATTCCAGAAAAATCATTGTTTCAAAACCTCATCTAGAGAAGACCCTGTTTGGACTGTAGTGCCATTGAATGGATGGTATTTCGTTTCAATATGTATCATGTTTATTTTTATTTAATTAGAATACATAGTAAGCAACCTAGCATACCTCTATTTATAATTTAATCCATTATACATTCAACAGATGTAATACTAACGCAGTACAAAGTAACATATATAGCTCGAAATTTGTCTAAAATCTTTTCTAACATGCGAATAACACACAGTAAGAAATTCTTGCGCTTGGACGTAATTTGTAATTTCGAATGCTATCTCCGTTGTAACAATAACGGGTGAAGCATATTATCAATTTATCTACGAAAAAGACGAGATACCATTCGTAAAATTAAGGACCCGTGATATTTTTATTCAAATTGAATACATTACTTTAGCAGCAAATTTCTTGTCGCTGCTAAAGTATATGAATTCAATTGTATTATAACATAAATATGAATTGTTTTAAACAAATACGTATAATCCGAATATTTACGATCGAAGATTACACAATACATATATTACTGTAAAAGCGATGATTTAGTGAACTAAATCTAAGGTTGTCCAATGAGTTTATTTTGTCCTGCATTACTCATGAACATTCATTTAGCGCGATTCAATTGATATCTTTCCGTAAAATTAAATTTCCATTCTTATCTTTAAAGTACTGCGAATCAAAGTCACTTCCGAACGAGATTTAATATTCGGAAAATTCAAATTTTAGGAAATTTTTACGTCTAAATGCAAATAAAAATTGGTATACGTCCTGAAATATTACATGAATGCCGCAGAAATTTTTTGACACATCTACAATTTTATCATCTTCAAAAACAATATTATGATAAAAGTTATGAATTGTAATAGGTATGTATATGTATATATATATATATA